TGGGCATCCCTGTTAGTAAAATATACTATATCTTATTTAACAAACCCATTGCCTTAATTGAAGCACGTTCTTGTCCCTCGGAAAAGGAACTACAGATGTTCTTATTATGTAGTTATGTTGCTAATGTGAAAAACGGCCTCATTATGAGGATCTGTTTGTAGCAAGAAAATTACTGCATTATGACAAATGCATGATTGGGAAGTTACAGGAAGCCGATCATTATTGAAATGAAACTGGAGCTCACTTAATAGCTGCAGCCAGCAGCTGGAATGGAGCAAATGAATGTCTTCCTGTTGTTATTGTTGGAGTCAGGGTTTTTGGGCAGGAGACTCTGCTGTACTGCAACCTGCGGGCTGGCTTGGGCTTCCAGGGTGGAAAGGCAGTGCTCAGAGCAGCTGTTTCCTACCTGGGAGTCTCCCCCTCGTGTGTTTAAGGACACTGTTTTAAAGACACCACCGCTGCAGGAACAATTACTCCAGCAGTCCTTCAAGGCAGGCCACTGCTGGCAGCCCAATCCGGGTCTCTCTGGGACAGGGGAAGGTGGTCAGGAGGTTGTTGTCATAGTTAAACTTCATGGCTGTGGCCCCTCCTTCACGCAAGGTCCCTTCCACTCCTTCCAGGAAAGGGGCCCCTGGTCTGGGTGAGGGGTGTCCATAGCAACGTTTCCTACTCTTGTTGAGTTTCCCACCACTGGGAAGCAGGCACAATTGAGCCCTGAAAGCATAGTAGCTGCTCAGTTAATTTTGGGTGAGTGAATTAGGCTTCCAAACATTCATGGGGCTGAGTTTCATCCTGGCCCCAAGCAGCATTGTTTTTGATCTGCAGTGTTTTCCGTGTGTCATTCATGGTCAGGAGCATACCCCCTTACTCACATAAGTGAATGGGGTTTCCACACCAATGGATTAGCCTTTGAAGTCTGACGAAAGCCATTTACATTTTGGGATGTTGGAAAAGAGCACCGAACCCCGAGCAGGGATGGCTGACAAAGACAGTTCAGCCATCAACATGTAAACTCCAATGACTGATGTCACAAGAAAGAAAAACCCGGCCCTGCTGCCCATCGGTACGTTTCTAATTGCAGCAGGCCAGTTGGAGCTACTCTGGCCCCAGCTGCAGCTCAAAGCCTGATGCCATTTTCGGCTGCCACATTAGCTCTGGCAATCCCAACTTGAACCGACATCACAGACCGTTAAAATTTTATCAATTGCGCTATGATTAATCCCCCAGTACACGGGCATGACTTAAATATTTAGAACGCTTCTTCTGTTATGACTTCAATGCATGTAAAGTAACGAGATTAACTCCAGTACACTCAAATATATTTAAATATGCGTCCTTCCCGAGCTGCAGGCTATCCGGCGTGTGGAATCGAGTCTATGTGACCATGTCAGGCTCTATTTGTAGGGCCCACGCTGGAGACTGGCCTGCATATGATAGCCGGATATCTGGCCTTTCACAGGCTGCCTGATTGCTTGCCTCATTTGGCATGGAATGTGATTCCCGGCCATTCTAGCTTCTGATTCATTCAGGTTTTATTGCTGTGTAATTTTCTTATTCTAAAATAAAAGCTCTCCAACAAAAATTACTATGCATTAGGCCACAGTAGCCTACTCAAATGGATATTAATACAGTTTATCTCCAAAAGGACGAATAATGTATTTGAAACAGATAAAAGGCCCTCCACTAAATGAGGAATGTTAATATCTTATGGCACAGTTAATAAAGAGATATTTCACAGGGGAGATTTGTTTTATGACTTTTGATACAACAGCCTTGTAATCTGACATATCTTAACGATATAATTTCACACATACATTCATCGCCTACATGCAGCAGCCCATCTTAGCTAAATTTGAATTCAGGACAAATAATGGGTGCTAATTACTTCCGGAGGGGGGGATTTATTAGAAAGCTCATCCTCTCTTTTACAGGTTTGACAGAAATCCATGTGTTAGCTTACAGATACACTTTTGATAAACGTTACCATTTCATTCCCCTTCAGCAGAAAATAACATTTGTTTTTGTTGTGTTTAAGGCAGAGTTTAAATTAATTTAACCCAGTGACACATGTTCGGAGACTAAGCATGCTGCTAAATAATTCCTTGGAATAAATTGCTCGGGAACCAAATGCATTAATTTATGGCTTTGCTGATGCTGACAGATGTGAGGGGTGGGCCGGCAAATATTAACATAAAACAAATTTGCTTTATTCTTCTTCATATTTCTTCTTCCTCCCCGACTTGAGCTCACCCAGGGCTCCTTCTCTAATTATCCACGAGGTCAGTAAGCAAAATTGGGAAGAAGCTGAGAGATCAATACAAATTATCCCTGAGCAAACCAGTGCTGACAGTTTGAATTGCAGCATATGTTTACCCAAAATCAGGCAATTTATCTTAATATCAGCAAAGTAATGCAGTGCAGGTGAAAGGTCAGGCAATCTCTCCCCCTCATAATTACCCAGTTCTAAAACAGGAAAGTGGTATTGATTGGCCTGGCTCGGGGCTCTGTGACTGGACGTGCCAGTGCCTTGCCCTGGCTCGGCTGGGCTCTAGGCTGTAAACTCGACACGCTGAGGGTTTATTAGATGTGTGGGGAGCTCTCGCGCTCTCTCCTCCGGTTGCAGAATTGGCCAGTGAAGACTGAACCAGTCTTCAGCAGCCATGGGTATTGATGGGCTCTTTGAGGAGCTGAGGGCTGCCGACCAGGACAGGTCTTCAATGGGACCAGGCAATGCTCCCGGGGACCCAGAGGTACATGGGGAGACCCATCACCAGAGCAGGAACTCCCAGGACTTGCGAAGGTCTGCTGATGGTCCCCTGAACCAAAGAGGAGGCAGGTTCCAACAGTTCTGCTAACTAAACACGTTCGAGTTTCTATAGCCAGACCCCTGCGGGAGGGCCGTCTTCTGGTTGCAACAGCAACACTAGGCCTTTTGCTGTGTAACTCATCCAGTTTGGTGGGGATTGGCCCTGGCGCACTTTGGTACCCTGCCTGAACTTTCTTGATGTGCCACACCTACTTGCTTTGATGATGCCTATTGGTTTGAATCAAGATGAAAGAGGCCCTCGTAGCTATACTGCTTTCTATGACACATGGGTCATAGAAAAAGGATATCAGTTCAGCTGAAACACTAGAGAATGTATCTCCCAGAGTGAGTGTATGCTCATCACAAGTCATAAAGCTTCTGAGAGCTTGCATTAAAGCGCCTATCACCTGTCAGGAGCATTTGCATGAAATCAATAATGGCTGCCCATCTATCTTTTCTGCTCACCTTTCATCGGGCCGATTCATTAAGTCAAACAGTCGTGGTGATTAGCTGGCAGAGAGGAGAAACCTGACATGCTAGGAATGCACACTGGGCCACCCCTCCACCCCACCCCCGCCAAACATCCTGAGCAAGAAACATAATACTTCATCTTACCCTTTTTGGACCAAGTCGTTTGCTGGGCCTGGAGCCCATCCTCCCGGATGCCCGAACTGCATTTTTGCCTGACACCCTTGCCTGTGCTGAGGCAGAGACATGACAAATTGTCCCCCCAGTCAATGCTGACAGCTTCTGATGATTAATGGCCTGATTATGAAGTGGTTTTACACATATAGAATTTACATCACAGAGAGTTAGAAATTTTGCCATGTCACATACACCAAGGCATTTTGAAGGGTTTTACTATTTGCAAAGAAAAAAGAGGGCAAAATCCCAGCAAAAGCCATGTCATGTAAAATCAATACATCGGATCAATGCTTTATTAACAAGAAAATGTCTTACTTCACATTCCTGTGCGGACCTTTGTCTCCAGGATGTATGATGGAATGTCAAATCATATTGTGGTCCTCAACTTTCGGGCGCATTATTGAGTGTACGTGCAAGGCGTCCTGGGTTGCTTACAAGACGCACCGACAGCTCACACTCGAGGATAATGGTGACCAATTATTGTGGAGAGCACTTTCCGAGGCAGCCCCAAGCTTCCTCTTAGGAAGCTCTGGCCTTTTGTGTTCTCCCGCACTCCGCAGACCTGGGTGGCGTTAATCATCAAATTACTAACGAGTGATGGTTCAAATTGCGGGCGGAGTAATGAATAGACGGCGGCAGGTCTTATTAGTCTCCGAAAACCTCCTGATTTATGTCGCGCCGTGCACCGTGGAGTTACTCCACAGAAAACGATATCTACATGAAGAAATAATGTACTCTAATAAGTATTTTCATCTTAACTCGTGTCCCCGGGCCTCCGGGCTCAGTTTTTGTTGGAGTCAGGCAGAGCCGTAATAAAGCCCGATGGCTCCCTTATAAAGCTTGTTAAACACAGTGTGTGCAGTCGAATGGAGTCCCGGCTGTGATTCATGCACTGTACAGGGTGCATGTGCCTCTGATTTATGGCCATGCACAGTTCATAGTCAAAATTACAATTTGAGGGATAAAAAGATTAATTACTATTTGTGGCCGGCAATTTCGCGGGGCTGGTGGATTGCAGCTGTGGAATGATAGCGCTCTATATCAGTTTGTAGTCAGCACTCACAGATTATTAAAGCTTTGCAAGAGTAAGTGTTCCTCCTGCCTGCTCTGTGCTCAGGCAATATGCTAGACAAAAAAGGACCACAGGGATAAATCTGAGGCTAGCAATAGCTGGACATATGTCATAATTGCCAGTTTCCCATAAATCCCCGGCTGGTGAGGAACACACCGTGTGATGCAGACGCCGCATCATGGCTCTGGTGATGGCTATATATGGGCCCCAAGACCTGTCACTTCGGGACTGCACTGCCATTTTTTACAATATACTGAGCCACCCTTTGACTTTCTTCCAGTCTAATTATAGATGTGAAATAATCGTTGCTTTTATGTGCAAAAGAAAAGGTGGTGGTGGGGGGGAGTCCATTCCTTAAGGCAGAGCTACCAAGCGCGGGTGCCTGCCTGCAGGCACACCTTTGTGCAAGCATGCAGTGAGTGCACAATGGATGACGTCACGGTGACTGACTTGCTCTGTCTGTGTGCCCTCTTGCAG